CTGTGGTCTGGCCATATTATAGACCTACAGGTATTTCGGTAATTTTTGTAGGTTTTTTTTTTTTTTTTTTTTGGCTTATCCAGAACACCATTCCCAAAATTTTGATAAGTCCCATCACTAAGAGATAGAGTGGGTCCTGAAAATTTGAGCGAGTCCCGCAGGAAAGTCCTGTGTCCAGAACTGATCTCCAAAAATCACTCTGATTATTAAAAACTACTTCAAATAAACACAATGAATATCCATTTTTTTCATGCTCTGTTGAACTCAACTGAAGCGTAAATTCTGAATAAATTTCTTTTCGATTTACATAGAACACAGAAGCCCTACATCCCACATTGTATATATGGTTCACTGATCTATGTATGCTATGCTAATCTGACTGTCATATTAATACCATATGGATACTGATCAGCAATAACATTACTTCAACGCCTGATTAAAAAAAAACACCAGTCTGTCGAAAGAGAAAAGAAAATAATTATGAAATCAGAATTAAGATTAAGCAATCCCATCACATAACAACAAATACAACCCTTATTCTGCTGGTACTTTATAAGGGGTCTTCCTTTCTAAATCGTTCTTTTCTTAAAATTATCACTGGTATCTTCGAATCCGAATCTAAATCATGATTTCATTTACATTTCGGCATTAAGATTTTGCTTTTTTTAAAATTTTTTATTTATTTATTTTATTAATTTTTTTTGTCGTTGTTGTTTATGACTGGTTTTGTCTGCATGACTAGAAAGGTCATTATCAGATTCTAATGATAATTATATGAGCGTGCCGTAGAGATCCTTTCAATTCTTTATGAACGACGCCACAGAGACTGCACGTGCGTCATCGAGTCTCCCATAAAAGGCTTTTAGTTCTGGTCATCCTGTAATCTTATATTCCATTACTACCATATTCTACGATTTTCTTCCCTTCAATGAATCCTTTATATTATGTTTTCGAAATATCAATAGCTTTATTCCGCTGTGATAGGATAACCTTTTTACATCAATATTATCCCTTACGTAACTGTAATCTTTGAAACGTTATTAAATATCGAGACCGTTTTTGACAGATGACGTCAATTCTGCTTTCAAGGGGGAAGTATTAGGTTATTAATTATAGGGCGATGGAGTTTAATGAAGATAATGAGCAAATTTCTTAACCACTATCTCTTCATCGGAAAAATCTTTCTTCCTCGTGTGATTTGATGTTCGATATATTTCATTACTTGCTCATCAAGCTTCGTGGTTTCGCTTATACTGCCCTGGTTTTATATTCTATAACGTGACATTATTTGGACTTAATATGATATACATTTACTGTAGCACGACCTTATAGAACTGACCGCAAAAAAATCTTTATGATGTGTACGACAATACTGGCAGAAAATTGCATTATTAAATATCATGATAAATGATCGATATGAACCTATACATAAAACGGAGAAGATGTTGCACTTGTATAATGAAAATAAATTAGGAATTAAACAATAGATCCAAAGAACATCTCGGTTACCAGAATTCTCATTAAGCATTTAAGAAATTTTATGTGACGTCAAATATGGTTAAAGTAATTGTGTTTGAATTTCAATAATGATATATTTGAACACTCTACTGATATTGTAAATATCTTATCCAACTTGTTTCTTTGGTCCTGTCTCCCAGGAATTGTACAAGAGATACAACTGAACAGTATAATTCAATAAAATTTAGAATTATATAGATGAAAGTCAAATTATGATTTTTTTTCTGCAACAAACATTTGTTTCGTCCTCCTAGGACTCGCCAGTCCTACTAAGCGTCTAAATTTTGAAACCTATGAGGCGGTTGTGGAAAATTCAAAGTGATCAAAGGAAATGTCAAAATTGATATCTCACGTGCAGTAATCCTACCATTAAAAATGCAAAATGATAGAATTGTGAAATTATAGAATATATTGGTCTGAAAATGAAGATAATTGTTGAATACCAATCTTGTTTTACTTTTATCGCCGAATTTCTTTACAGTTCTGGTTATGGAGGTTTCATGCGAAAACAGTCGGGTGTGTGTGATATTACATTGAAAACGTTTACGGATGGACAACAGATGGCGAAAATCAAAAGGTCACTACAAAAGGTCACGCTGAATTTCGCCCCAAATGACACAATAAATCCAATTGTGGTATGATTTGAGTAATCAAGCTGAGATGATGTATCCGATCGTATACAGCACAACCTAACGTTGTTGTACGACCGTTCGATTTGTGAATGGATAATTCAACGGTTTTCTGATGTCTGCACACGCAAGCCACTTATCGACTTTAGCAGACGTCATCAACAGACGGGATGTGTACTTTATCTAACCGGGCGTGTGGAAATCACATCTTTCGGTGTTTGACACGCAAAGCACGTGCATGCAGTCAATATAAATATCGACTGTGGCATATTTCCATCACTTACCTAATAAAGAGTTAAAGTGTTGTATGCTTTATTTATATATCTAGTACTGGTACAATAGTATAGACATAACACGTCATAGGGGTTAACACCTTGCAAAGTTGTAAAAATCACACTCTTTCTTTTAATGTCGGGTTCGAATTTCTTTCAAAAACATTTTGAAAATAGATTTGAAATGTTCGGATATTGTACCGACATAAAACTTTTATGTCACGTTTTTCATTTTTCAGTTCTTGACTACAACGATCATTCCCTTTTTGTTCGTCTCCTGATCCGTCCATCTATTCCAGGGGAGATAACTCGTACGAAACTACTTGAAATGAAACTTAATACTGATAAAGGATGGCAGACGGCAAACCAGTAAAATGACCTCAGAAACAGTACATAGAGAACAAAACGATGTTTTCCAGAAGGGTAGGCGTATTCTGCGTCATTGACGACGACCGCCGATAAATCTTGGTCAGTCTGTAACTTTCTTAAACCTTGTTTATATCAACAAAACCACCGAACATAATAATGACTCATCTTACTTCATAACGTACAAGAAAATGAGATATTTCCTATTGAGATGATGATGTAGATCACAAAACCTCCGCGTGGTCTTAATCAACCCGTCTCTTTCACAACCATTGACAGTTATAAGCTACATTCCTCTGATATCCATATAACTTTACAAATTTCTTAATAGTTCTAAGTCTTCTAAATTATCCTGTATATATTCAACCCTTCAACTTGTCTATAGAAAAATGAAATCTTTCGGAGAATTAGTAGTATACGGGAACATCGAAGATCAATTCATCTTCCGTGGAACCTCTTCTAAAGACCGCTTCAAGATCACGACCACCTCGCTATCAAGATCACTTCATTTCAGTCCAAAATATCCCATCTACATGTCTTTGTATCTAATGTCTCCCTATTAAGACGATATCATTTTAACACCAGTTGTGAACATAATTCCAAATACCAGTTTTGCATTTAGCTCACTAATCAGAATATTGGCCAGCCATAAAATTACTTGGTGTGTACTTTATCATGTACAATATATATCTGCCAGGCGTTAGATCACTTAGTGGAGAAGTTTGTATTTAAGTGTTAAACTGCGTACAATGTCAGGACAACCGTGTGTTAGAAGCCCATCATACATGCATTTCTTTAATGACTGAAAATATAGGGGGAAAGTGGCCACGAGGGAATTATATCTCCCTGATCATATTCAGTATTTCTGTAATCTCGCAATTAAACCACAAAAAATCGAATCGTCACGCGCTTATCACACTGATCAGACATGAAGTGTACCTATGGCTGTGCAAACATCGAGATCTGTGGTTTATGTTTAAAAGTCTATCTTGTCATAAATCTATGTAGGTTGCCGCGAATATTGAGAACGAACCAAACATTTCATACGACTAAAAATGAAAAGGTAATTGTATATTATCGACAATCCTGGCGATACCAGCCGTTTCAAAGTCAAACAAAAGCCTTCAATCGATGAAGGTTTGTCAATGATATCTTTTGATTTCCTTATTATATAAACTTTCTTCCATATATTGAACATACAACAAACACTTATTGTTTAAAACATCGTAAAAAACAAAGCAACAAAAAACCCAATTACTTTGGACACCATATATATCTTTATCATCTTGTCTCGATCAACCAGACTCTTCAGTGATGTCTGCGCTCGCTACCCCAATTACGAAGTGATCAAATGGCTGGGTGAGCTAGATTATTAAATGCATTTTTAAAATACAGATATGAATATTTCAGAAATAAAAGTACATGTTCCCGGAGTATACTCAGTTTATCTATCTATGACAGATCACTCAATGACCAAAATGAACACATAGTCTTCTGATAATCATTTACAGTCAAAAAGCCATCATACATCAGTGCAGTCACACCGCGTGAATATAAATGTTCGGAAGAAAGACGGAACTTTCAGCTCATACTATTTCTGAAAGTTTTGATCAAGGCAAGCTGGCGATTTGATATCAAATTTTATTGTGGTAAGCGTGTATCATCTTCTGTATCATGTCTGTTGTACTTATAACCAACAAATCTTAAATCGATTATTTTTTTTAAGGATTCGAAAACGTTCGAAACATTTATGTTCGAATATTTTCTTAAGAGTATGAAGGCCCTTTGCCATGAAGTATGTATGATTTCCTAAATAATCATCAGGCGTTTAACTATTTCCAACGTTTATATATTTCTCGAGGGCTGTTGTATAAACCTATTGTGTGATGGTTTCGCTTACATCTTCGCAGCTTTTGAAATACGCAACCAAGGATTTTGTCGCACAAAGAATTCCTCGGAATTGATATTGTGTTAAATGTTTTAAGCTGTTGTTATTGGCTTTTGGCAAATGTGTATGGCTATAGTATAATGTTGCTACCATGCATATATTCAAGCTCGGATTACTTGGGTCACGGGACGATTTTTATCCACAGAATTAATGCCACTGATCGTGTTATTGTGTAAAACCAACGTGGATTGTAAATAAATTATGTCAAAAAGAACAAAACTCAAATAAAGGTGAATACATATATTATCACTTTATCAGAACAGGTATTCAGTTTATCCATCCATAATTTAACAATCCGTTCAATGACCAGAACAGACACGTGTCTTTTTTATAATTAGACACAACAGATATATCTTCAGATAAAAGTGCGGTCACGTCATGCGAATATGATTGCCAGTCTTTGGTAGATGGTGTACCGGATCGGACGAACGACAAAACCTCTCGTTGAATCGTCTCCTGGAAATTTCGATCGGAAGTGGCTGGCGGTTTGATGTAATCTTTAATCGTATCAAAATATGCAAATAGATCCCACATGTGAAACGAATAAGATGATGGAAAGGGCATCCCAAATACATGAACAGGTTCCGAAGGCTGTGACGTCACGACGTATCTATAGACCGGTGATTTCATATTAAAACTGATAACTCCGGACATAAAATCATTGGGGCATCCTACACGAATGTCTGTACCCATTCTCGTGTACTCATATTCCGGTGACGTTACATTTATTGGGTACATTCCCAATGCATCATCCGCGAGTTTAGATCCAAATGTCCCCAAATGACCTTTGACCTGTCGTTCATACTCGGTCCAATTCCACATATTCATGGTTGATAAAGTAGGATCAAAATCAATCTCATTCGTAGTTGTACCTGATTAAAAGAACATGGAATTGAAATTCTTCGAAGATTATATATATTACTTTATTTGATCGTGTTTTACTCTGAAATGCATGTCAAAGTTTTATTTGGTTAATTTTTACGTAACAGTCAGTAGAATGTTAGAGGGTGTCTGGTTTGAGTGGTATAGAAAATCCGGGGATTATCCCATGTTGGTCTTGAAACAGTGAATCAGAGGTGGAGAGCTATCGATAAAGACGGTCAGATAACTAAAACACCACCATTTAAAAGATACATTTGAAAATTTATAAATCAAATCTATTGTTTTATTGAGACTTACCAACAGTCTGCAATCAAGACTTTTGCGCGATTTAGGATCTTATACGTAATTATTTCGGAAAGGAACAGTGTTTCTCATAGTTACGTCAAGTTCAGTGTTGCAGGTAGTGTGAAAACGAGCGTAATATACTTACCAATAAGCAGGGGGACGTCTATAGCAAGGCCTTGTTGCCATGCTTTGTAGGGAGGATACGTCACAACATCTCCTTGGCAACAACATAACATTGTAGAAATATAAATATGTTAATAACAAATACTTTCGAGCTTAACTATATAAAAAGTCAATGAAATGAGACAAAAAATTGAATATCTTTATGATAAAAGACAAAGTTTTACTTAGATGCCTTAATTGCTGAAATTCAAAGATCTGTGAAATCTCCGATTAGTTTTCATATCGTAATATTTTGAAAATTTAAGTCTCATTCAAAATCTAAGTTGTAGAAATAGAAAGTTTGTAATAATACACTTTTGGTGGTTTTTGGACGTTGAAATGGTTGAAACAATTTAAAATATCTTAAAAAATTAAAAACAAAATTACACTAACTGAATAAATTACAAACAATGATATAGAAATACCGTCTACAACAGCTATGGCACCGTTGAAATGATCTTTCTTCGGAAGGTCACCTTGGTCTCTCATTTCCCAGAATGGGTACACTTCCCATGGTACAGAACTGATTATCTTAGAAGCCGGAAGGTCATACAGACATGTGATATTTGTACATCCGGTGTTTTTCAAGAAGACAAGATTATCCATGGATGCCTCTTGAGATGTTTTGTTGAAAACTGCTGAAGCACTGAGCATCCACGCTTTGTGGAACAACCCTCTGGCTTGCTCTGAAGCCAGTAAAGCACCGATACTTGTTCCTCCGGAGCTTTGTCCAAACAGTGTGACCTAATGAAGATAAAATTAGCGAAAAAAGGGAATCGAACTCCGGTTAGACTCAAATTTAAATTTGACAATATTTCGTTTGGTTTGTCACCCTGTGAACATCGTCCTGAGAATCACAAATAACATAAATAGAATCGAACCTTATACTTTTGTTCGTCATTCGTTGACACGTGGTATTAATCCCTTTCATCAAAGTTTCATTTTTCAGAAGCGTTTTGAATATTAATCGAAATAGAGTCTTTAAAGATACGAATATTAATATATCATTACAGTTCACATGTTTACAAACGTCAGATTTGAAACGTAATTCTATCTTCATTGAGAAAATATATAAATAGTTGATTTGACTACAATGCCCCTAATAACAAACAGAAAGCCCAAAACAGATCAAAACGAAACAAAACAAAAACAAAACAAAAACAATCGAGTTTTAAAAAATACTTTTTCACCTACCGAGTCTGGATTTCCGCCAAAGTTTCTCACATTATCCTGAACCCATCTCAGGGCCAGAATTTGATCCATGAATCCATAGTTGCCTGACGTGTTGGTCTTTGACTGCTCCGATAACAAGGAAAGGGACATGAAACCAAATGCATTGAGACGATAGTTCATACCTACATACACGATGTTGGTGTCACGAGCCAGTTCTTCCGATGGACAGTAAGTCGGCCAATTTGCGTTAGATTCTTGTAAACTTCCTCCATGGATCCAGACCATCACGTGCAGGTTAGCACTTATATTGATGGTAGGTGTCCACACGTTGAGGTATAGACAATCTTCACTCCCTAAAATGGCTGTCTGGTTCTCCGGATTCCTCTGCATGCATGTATTCCCGTAAGCATAAGCCTTGAAAATGCCATCCCAGCAGTTTCCAGCTTGTTTGTTGAGTGGAATCGGCGGTTTCCATCGTCTATTCCCCGTGGGTGGAAGTGAATAAGGAATTCCACGAAATGCGTATCCTTGACCATTATATTTACCTTCCACTGGTCCACATTGTGTATCCACTACTGCAGTTGGTTCGCTGTTTACAAATCCACTGGATAGCATAGCAAGGAGTTTAACGATTGTATAAAATACAGGCAGCATCGCGTGTCAACTTCAGTGCAATGTCCTTCTTCATATCACTGGCTAGCTGATCACGTGGTATAGAGTTTAGAGCTTGAAGATGATTATATCTAGATCATTAAGATCCATACCAGAATTAGAAAACGTTTAATTATTTTTTTTTTTAAATATGTTACGAGGTTACATCATACAGAATCTAAAACGATAATTCAACAAGAGATATGCTGATGTTCTATCATTAACGTCAACTATAAAATACCTCAATGGACAATATTTGTATTGATTTTACATCTGATAGTTTATATCTAAGCTGGGTATCCAACAATCTGTCAAAGATACTTACACGGTAATGGTGTAATATGAAACAAATTGGTTATAAATGTACATGTCCCCACTAGACATGATTAAGGTAGCTGATCCGGATAAAAGCAGAAATCAACTACTACGATAATACACAAAACAAGCAAAGTATGAATAGACGTCACCGACGCTAAATATGATAAAGATAGCTGATAAAGATTGAAAGCAAACAACTTGATAAAGATTAAAATCAAATGTACTGGTGTTGTTTGAAACTAATACAGTATAGATGTAAGTATAACTCACTGAAAACACATGCATATGCTGTATGGCCGATTATTTTTTGCGGATCAAAAGTTTTGCGATTTTCATTGAAAACAGAAGAATGAAATTTTGGCGAATCAAAATTGTACGATCTGAGTAAAAGTTTTCTCGAATATTGCTTCCGATGTCAGATTTCCTTTACATGATTGCTGACTTATCAGTGAAACAACAGTATACATAAACACACAAGTATTCTATAGATAAACTATATAACAAGGAATCTATATGATGTCATTTAATCCATACGAGTATTTGTCGAAATGGCTTTGGACAATCGGTCCTTAGTAAAAGGCATATGTGTTTTACTTAGATACTGAGCAAGTACTTGTTTTGTAAACAATTAAAGGAATCAAATTCTCTTCACAAAAGTTCTGAAGTACAAATCGAACAATATTGGAGGAGTACGCGTCTTCTACTTTACGATGGCACTCATTAGGTCAATCCAAGTAACGTTAGGATCCAAAATGAGAATCATAAAACGTTTAATTAGGCTAACATGCACATTATTATTATTTTTTCATTACATAATCAAATTTAAGCTTCACGGTCTCTGTGTTTGTGATGTTTCGAATTTATTGAGGGGTTTTCTTGCACAAGTTACCATATCCATTTTTATAAATTATCAGATATTTGACCCCCAGATTTGTCCAACACATTAATTAATCAAAGATTAACTCAACTGCTTGCATAATTCAAAAGTAAAACGAGTATTTTTTTGCATGCTGTTCAACTTCCTGCAGTCACTTTTCATACATTTTATTTTGGTGCATAAGTGGAATTTGGAGTACCAAGTAATTTAGACTTGTTTTGTCGGTTGTTTTTGTATGATTCAAATACATTTATTATTGGAGCTTGGTCTTTTATATCTATTCTCACATTGAGATTAAACCCTAACTTGTTTTTGCACACTCAAATATAGACATGTGTTTTGATAAGAAAATTATCCGTCGTTGCAAACATCATAGTTTAGGAGTGAATTATTTTGACTTATTCAAAGGGAAAATTTATAACAGAGAAAATGAAATCACCACGCAATAACAACTGATGTAAAAGAGTCCGACATTTTCTATATCGTATCCGTTGAGTTAAAAGGCACCCTTTATGTATGATGAGAAAGGGCATCGTTTCTGTCTTCAAAATGTCTCTTGTGACGCTACCTCACTTTTGACCTTTACGTCGGGCGTGTACCACGGTGAGAAAGATTAAATTTTGCCTGTTGGTTCCATTGCATAGTCGTAAGAAGCGACAAAATTTGAGATATATATTTTCTCTCTTTATCTACCTATTTATTTTCACTAATGTTGCCTTTGACAATGGTTTTGTTGGAGTGTTCGACCCTGTGAGGAAGATTGTATGTTCTGTCTCCTGGGGCCTATCATCATGGTAAAGAAGCGACTGGTTTGCCCGATGTCAGTGTAATGTGATGTGACCGGGCGGGGTAGAGCTGGTTGCATTCGCCAGTATACTTGAGTGCGGTAGTTTTGAAAAAGACACCGTTTCTGCACCATAACAAAGAGCTTACGGCATTAAACACATACATTCACCTCGTTTACGTGAGAAGGCCGTCCTTTTGATAGGACAGGAATTGATCATCCATTCAGATAAGGCTATTTGTTCTATCCCCCAATCGTGACGTATAAAAGTCATAAAAATACTATTTTCTACTTCCGTTCAATTCAATTATCAGAATGATACATGCATGACTGACTGAAATTTCGTGAGTTGACAGTATAAAGAGTCTTAACGTATTGACATAAGTCCCATTTACCAATTTATAAAAATCATTATGGTTTTAAAACGAAATAAAAAAAAACGGTAGGCTAGTTTTTTTGTTGGAATATCTTGCCACAAAACACACCGACGATATTCTTTAATATTTCGTTTAGGCTATGAACAATTTACTACGACATATGCATAGTTCACAACTGCATTTGGATCCCAGTTCACTTTTCTGTGCAAAAACAAAAAACAAAAACAATCAAGACTTTCATTGACGAAGTATTAAAGCGTAGCCGAATCAACTTCAACATATTGGTAACCTCTTGTGTAGTTTTGCTGTAAACTGTTTACAATCTCGTTACACTATTTTATCCCTTAATGTACATATTATAATTGAGCCGAAAACGTCGGACGATTATTTACCATCTCGTACACTGCATACGTCAGTGCTTCTACGTTTCACACTGGTCATTTGTCTTCGGAAGATCAATCGTCACCCTTACGTCTTCCACTTGTTGTGCTATAAGAGCTTCTATTCTAATGAAGACGTTCAGTTCATTTAGAATGGGATATATCGGTGAACACACTGGAAGTTATCAAATACTTCTGTATAAGAGGATATTCAAAATTGAGCACATAAATTTCGAGTTCTTCAAACTCCCTATTGTATTAATCCAACTTAAAACAAAGACTAGATACAAACTGATGATAAGACATCAAAGAGAAAAAACAAACATACCAAGTATTGCAATGGGGACAGAAGAATAGACAGCAAAATTATAACCACTACCTGCCGCTGTCATCCAAAACTAGACAGCTGCAGTCAGATAGGTGGGAATAGCAGCATTTGTAAATGTTTTAAGATTACACTTTTATTTGATAGGCAGAGAAATGCTCCTAGATCTGTCGGGTTCCAACTTCACGTCGCCTCCTGCGACCATGTGCTGAGGGACACACCAGGTCTGGATTCTTCGATGACGTTCATTACAAGCAGGGCGTAACGGACGACATCACTGAAGGCAGTCCTTGATCTTTCATGAATCTCAGAAATAACTAATTTCTTACGAAATGCAATGATTCCTGGGTATTCCCTAGGAAACTTCGTCATATTGTACATTGTTGAATGTGAATGTATGGAATTTTAGTGTCTCTTGTATGTTGGAACGATCTAATAAAATACCAGGATTCTATGTCTATTATTTATCACAGTATACTTTTATTATATTTGAATATATGTACTTGTATCCTATTTAAAACGCAGAACTAATGTAAAACATACGTTTAAGTTTTCATTTTGATTGATATCGTTGTATTCAGTATTGTCGTATTATCTAAGGCATCATGAAAACATATAAAATGGTTTATATTTGTGTACATACACATGTATAACAACAGATTTAAAATCAATATATCTTTATTGAAATGTTATACAAATATGGAACATTTTGTTTATAATGGAGATACGGTCTTTCCTTGTATGTGTTTTTCCCTTTTGTTATTACGTGGATAAGACAGTGTTGTAAATTAAAGGAAATTGAATCATTGGGCAGTAGGTAGCTTCACTCATTGCAGTGGGAAATGAAGATATTTCCCCATTATATATAGTACAAGCTTCGTCTATGCACACAGATGTGAACGCACCAAAGCATTGACATAGGATATCCAGCATTAGAGTCTGTTTAATAAATGTTTACAATACTAATTTGATATATTTCAAAGCAGATTTTGAAAGTTTTAAAATATTCTGAATATATCAAACATTCAGTTTATCCACCCATACGAAAACAATCCGTTCTGGGACCAAAACTTACACGTTTCTTTTTTATAGTTAGAGACAACGGAAATATTCTCGGACAGAAGTGATGTCACGCCATGGGAATATGGCTGCCAGCTCTTGGTAAAGGGCGCACCTGTTCGGACGAAGGACAGAATTTCGCGCCTAATGGTCTCCTGAAAACTCCGATCAGATGAAGCTGGAGGCTTGATGTAATCTTTGATAGTATCAAAATATGCAAAGATGTCCCATAAATGAAAGGAATACGACGAAGGAAAGGAATATCCCAATGCATGAACGGGTTTCGAAGGCTGTGACGTCACGACGTATCGGAAGACCGGTGAATTCATACCCGTGCTTATCACCCTTGCCATATAATCAGTAGGACATCCTACACGTATATCGCTTGCCATACTCGTGTACTCATATTCTGGTGACGATGCATTGATTGGATAAAATCGCAAGGCTTCTTCATCGAGGTTAGCTCCGAATGTTGTTAAATGATGACTGACCTGTTTTTTGTACTCACTCCAATCCCACGTGCTCATGGTCAAAAGGGATGGATAGAAATCAATCTCATTTGTAGTTGTTCCTGGCAAATGGCAGGGAATAATGCTTAATGATAAATACGTCGATTATAACTATTTCCAATAAATTAGTATTCATTAAACGAACTCATCATTTGATCGATTTTTAATTTGCCACAAAAATGGTAAGCTTATCTTAGATGATTTCATCGACGAGACATTGTTAAGGTAAAGTTAATGTTTTTGATTCGCTCAAAGTAACACTACCTCCTTATGAACATGATATACATACCGATAACTAACGGGACATCTATAGCGAGACCTTGCTCCCAGGCCTGGTACGGAGGATAAGTCACAACGTCTCCTAGGTTAAAAGATGTCATAACTTTACAACAACGAATACTAACCAGAGAATATCAGCAATTAACATATGGATGTTGTCATAAAATCGATTAATCAATCTGTAAACGAGAGCAGCGGATGTATTAACAAACGGGCATCTGAAAAATTCGAACAAGAAAAAAAAAAGATGTAACTTTAAGTAAATTCACATGTAACGTTACATTTGAGACATAAGTGTGTGGACATAAAAAAAGCATGGCACATAAAGATTTTATCGAAACGAAAATATGATAAATTGCTCAAAGTTAACAGAGATTTTTGGTGATGCCTATTCTTTATCACAATATCTTTGTTCTTTCTTTGTTTGAATGTTTTCAGCTTTTTATCATTTATATCAAGATAGATACATTTTCTGTATTTCATTTCATAAAATTCAATGGGAAATGATACGCTACCACAACTTTTTTCTTCATCAATTACAGTAAGTAAAGAAAAGCCTAATAAGTTAATGATGAACTTAATGAAAAATTGTTGTACCGTCTACAACAGCTACGGCGCCATCAAATTGACCTTTTATCGGGAGGTCACATTGGTCTGTCATTCCCCAGGACGGGTACACATCCCAGGGAACTGCTTTTGTGATCTCTGTGCCAGAGAGGTTATACAGGCAATGTATATCTGTACATCCGGTGTTTTCCAAGAAGACAAGATTATCTTGTGAAGCGTCATGGGATGTTTTGTTGAAGATCGGTGAAGCACTCATCATCCACGCTTTGTGGAACAATCCTCGGGCTTGCTCTGAAGCCAGCAATGCAACGATACTGGTTCCTCCAGAACTTTGTCCAAATATTGTGACCTAGTGAAAAGAGAGCACTAAATGTGTTTCATAGGATTATAACTGTGCGTTTCATAGATATTGACCAAACTGAGAAAGTTAAAGTCTGAGTGAAACTATACTTTCAATTCAATTCATAATTAAATTGCCTTCCACAATAAAAGAACATTTAAGTCTTTTATTTTTGATGCTGGGACACATGGTATCTGCACATCATACAAGCTATTTTGATTTAAAGGCCAAGTTGTAAGTGCACGGCGCTTTAATATTTCCCAGAAGAGCAATGTATAAGGAGAGTAAATTGTAGTACAAAAATGATGCTAAATGTTTTGCGACTACAACCCCGTCATTGGTACACGGTTTTTGCAAGAAACAACGTTCAATGAAAAGTTTTTCGAGGTGACATTTCTTACAGCTACACAACAACATCGTACACGTTAACAACCATAACTCAATTGGATTAAAAAACAAAACAAAAATAAAAATAGATAAAAAATGTTCCTTTCATTAGAAAGTATAACGTTCAAGTAAACACTACCAATGACCATTGCGTCATACCTTGCCAACATCATTAGCGGAAGGAAGACGTGCGCTATTTAAGTAGTATTGTATTGTCTAATGTTAACCAATACCGAGTGTGACGGTGTTCAGTTGCTTGTATGAATGAAAATCAATTTCTCATGTAAAACATACAAAAAGGAATTATTCTAATTTTCGTTACAGTGTAAAAGTAATAGTTTTGATTTGTTTTTTCTTTTGATGTTGATATGAATTAAGGTTGCTTTATATTCAGTATTTACTTACGAAATTGAGTTTTATAATTGGAAAAACCCTTAAAGCAATGATACAATTAAGATAACATTGCAATTAATCAAGCAATGAACAGATATCAGATCCTAGGAACATGTTTGGTAACATTCTATTTATGTGTCACCAAAATGGTGTTCATATTAACTGTATAATACCATCCGCTAACAATGCTTATATTAACATTCATATGTTGTAAGTCATCTGAAATTCTAATTCGAGAACAGAAGTAATAACAAAAGTCATCGTGTCATCATCGTATGAAATTATATAGTCACAAATTCAATTTGTTCTTTAAATGAAAGTGTTAATCCCCCCTCGACACACACGCACACACACAAAAGAACCGTTTAAATGGAAAATAGTTTATTGTTCATATATATATATAAAGAGACGCAACTCATAGTCAGATTTCACGACGCAAGGTGGGTAGTGTTTCTTCTGGGGTTATTTACGTTTTCCTGCTACGTAGTAAGCAGATGAAGTTGACAACCTTGATAATCTCGTATGTCACGGCGATAAGAAGGGTTTTATGATAAATTTGCATGTTAAACGTTAAATTTATTCTGTTATAATTTGACAGCATTGTTAAATTTCTTGCGAAGGCCTCTTACCCGTAACTTCGAATATGTCAGTATATTTGTCAGTAAACTGAACGGCGGTCAGTTTGCGAGACATCTCAATGTATTCCTATACCAAATGTAAATTGTAATGTACAATCTCATTTACTATTATTTTGTGTCTTAAAGATTTATAGGCGAATGCAACACATAATGTAAATATTACATTTATATCTATAAAGATTGCTTTTCGATGGACAAACACGTTGACCATAGAGTATTTATTAATACGCCTGACCAGATGGGCGTGTCTAGCCTGATATACGACATTGGGTTTACAACTAAACGAGAAACTCATCGTAGAACGGAATTCTTTTATTATGACCTTTTAACTTAACAGTGAGATAATATAACTTATTTGAGATATGCAGACGATGCTGGCTATATTTGTATGTTTGAAATACACTTACGAACTACTTCCAGATACATATGTGTTTTCCCAATGTCGAATATTCATGATTTAATATTTCTCATTAAGTCACATTGTCGATGACCAAATGACAGGTTTATAAGTATGATGCTTTCCCTATTTTATATGGCGGTTCGATAGCATTATTAATGAATAAACAGACGAAGTCTCCCTATAAGACTTACCCAAGTCAAATTGATAAATTTGATAAGTATGCAGTGGTTCACCTACCGAGTCTGGGTTTCCGCCAAAGTTTCTCACGTTATCCTGAACCCATCTCAGGGCCAGAATTTGATCCATGAATCCATAGTTGCCTGACGTGTTGGTCTTTGACTGCTCCGATAACAAGGAAAGGGACATGAAACCAAATGCATTGAGACGATAGTTCATACCTACATAAACGATGTTGGTGTCACGAGCCAGTTCTTCCGATGGGCAGTAAGTTGGCCAATTTGCGTTCAATTCTTGTAAACTTCCTCCATGGATCCAGACCATCACGTGCAGGTTAGCACTTTTATTGATGGTAGGCGTCCAAACGTTGAGATATAGACAATCTTCACTTCCTATAATGTCTGTATGGTTCTTCATGTTTCTCTGCGTGCATGTATTTCCATAATCATAAGCCTTGAAAATGCCATCCCAGCAGTTTCCAGCTTGTTTGTTGAGTGGAATCGGCGGTTTCCATCGTCTATTCCCCGTGGGTGGAAGTGAATAAGGAATTCCACGAAATGCGTATCCTTGACCATTATATTTACCTTCCACTGGTCCACATTGTGTCTCCACTATTGTAGTTGGTTCATCGACGACATATTCACCCAATAATATATTGATGATTCGGACCAGATGTAACATAGAGATCATATTTTCTGTCATTCGCCTTCCCAGTCCATATCATTATCATGGTGTACATGTGATGTTTTTAAGGGTATATGTTCGTGGCTTCGCCTTTATCGCTAAACACAATCATACGTTGTGGTGTTAATTACTGTCTACGTACGTGTATTGACTTGGAAATTTTACATCATTACAGGTTACTCACAAACCCATGTCATATGCATAGAAATAATTTAAATGGGAAAATTATGCAACCGTAAACATATTTATGCTGTGATTCATTCCACAAAACATCCAAACAGGTTTCATTTGAGGTGGTAATTCTAAACTATTGTGTGAATTTCTATTGAATATATTATCTTGAATACACCCAAAAAGAGTGCATTTTTTAACGAAAGTATGACGTTCTCGTTCATTATGGGAATTTCAACTCGAAAATAAATAATTTCTAAATCTGATTTGTTTTCCTTGTTGATTTCTTTCTTTTTTTTTAAAATCTTTTTATGATTTTATTGATTTTTAAGATCCTTTATGATAAATGAATCTGCCTTGTTTTAGCTACAATATTAACCTGTATTCCGGGTAATGTCTACACGTTGGTAGATGTTATTGTGACCTGTCTCTTCATGTTATGTCTTAGTTGGTAGATCATATTTCAAATGACACCTGGTGTGATCTTGTTGCTATATATATATGTGTGTGTGTGTTTTTATTTATATAATAACGACGGCTGGAACCGGTTATCAAAAATGTACTTACAGTGAAAAATGCTCCTATATTATCAGATTAATCTTATTCAGAAGTGAGTTAACATTATTCTTGATGGGTGTTAATGTTGACAATTCGGGACATGATACCGCTGACTTAAATTGCCCAAAATTAACATGACGTGTCTTATTCATTTGCGTTTGTTCCAATAACATGTCGTTTTGAGGGTATTGTTCATGTCTTTTATGTTTTTTTAATTTAATATGCCGATCAAAAAGACAAAATCACATAATTGGGAAAATGAAAAATTGGGTACTGAATAAAGGGAAGTATGTATTGCAGTGTGGTGCATTTTCAAGATAATTTATTGATAATATAGACGAACCAAGAAATATAAACTGTGCGCAGCTGAAAACCGGAAGCCCGATGTGGACTTTAGACATAGTTTCGTATTTTGATATGTGTAGAAATACTTTCACTTTAGCTAGTGCTACACAGACATAGATAACCACTTCGACTTATTATTTCCTATCAGGTTGCGTATAGTGTCAGGTAGCGGACATCACCACATGTACACAGACACAGTTAATTGTGAAATGAAGAAGAATACAAAAATACTCACAATAAACGGAAATCAGTAGACTGTGACACTAAAACATACGACACGTTTTAAATGTTACATTGTATATAACATGTTGTATACATCACCGAGACACCTATTGTAATCGAAAATATCGCATACATTAATTTCATCATCTAATTGATATGTCTAGTTGATATAAAACATAACAATGGTATAATACATACATACAGCTTTGTGTGTATCATAATGTTCAGTTCCTTACAAAACATGAAATACACAGCATAAGTGTTTTGACGAGGTTAATGATACAAATGTCAACATGATAACCGTACTGTAAAAATGAAGATATTTTTTTTTGTTAAAAATTCCGTAGATTACCAGAGAATCAACGCAAAGAAAGTTGGGATAACATTGCTCTTTTGAAAGTACAGCTCTGAGATTAAGGTAAATGATGAACAGGAGACACATAAAGAATTTTTGATATCAACAATACTGAACACTATTCCCATGTACTCGATGAACAAGTTGTTTGGTGATTATACCGAGACTCTGTTGCAACTTCAGGTAGCTTCCCTTGTCATACCAGTTTCTTCAGCTAGGACTAGTCTTTGCAGGTGCGTTTAAAATTTGCATTTCAACCACATTTAAACCACATGTAAAGTTTTGCGAACTGAAGCCGAGATTATGGTAAATTATAAATAAGCGACAAATAAGTCATGTGTTCGGCGCTGATACCGAGACTTTATCGCAATTGCAGGTAGCTTCCTTTGGCGTACCAGTTTCTTCAGCTAGGACTAGACTTTGCAGGTGCGTTTTGGATTTGCATTTCAACCAAATGTTCGATTTTTGTTTACTGAAATCAAAGATTATTATAATTAAGAACTGGTTTCCTTAAATCTTCAGTTACAAAAAGTAATTCAACAGCTGCAAGACAAAGATATAATTGTTAAGTTATTCATACTTCCAAAGTTAAGCTTATTTTCATGAAACTATTTATCATAATTCTGAAAATTGTTAATACGTGTTTGATAATTTGTTTAAGATTATGATATGTTATTGGAGTTGTTTGATGAAGTTGAATAATGTATATTACATCTAGTCACTACAATAATCCAGGCGTTTTAAATAATAGATACGACCTCAAAGAACCGGAAATACAACTTTGGTGTGGAAGGGTTTCCAGTACACTTTTCTACATTTTCAGTACTATTCTCATTTATTTGATATTGTACTTAAATACTATCTCAAAACATCGTATCTAGTGACAAACAACAAGAATAAAGTCTGATTAAAATGTCCCACTGAACAACAAAAAGAGCTAAATTCAGTTTATCCATCCACAATTCATTATCGGACCAAAACAAGCATATGTCCTTTTGGTTAATTAGCTACAATCAAAATCTTCTCCGACAAAAGAGACGGTGATCCAGTTCGGACGGAAGACAGAACCTCTCGCAAAATCGTCTCCTGGAAACTGAGATCAGAGGAAGCTGGTGGTTTTAGGTAGTCTTTCATCGAATAAAAATTGATCCCTTGTGTGGAATGCCCACGATGAAGGAAAAGGCATTCCGAGTACATAAACAGATTTCGAAGGTTGTGACGTCACGACATAACTATAGACCGGTGATTTCAAACTTGTGCACTTATTATTTTGGATATATGATTGTTTGGGCAACCTACACGTATATCTATACTGATAATTGTATAATGATAATGAGGTAATACCACACCAGTAAGATATATAGTCCAATGCCTCATCTACAACGTCGGAGCCAAACGGCTCCAAATGATTGAGGACCTGCCTCTCGTACTTGGTCCGATTCCATGTGTTGATAGTCGTCTTTACCGGTTTAAAATCAGTTTCATTCGCAGTTGTACCAATTAAAATAATAAATGGTAAAACGATCTTTAACCAGATATCTCTTTAGATAATTGAACTATAACTGCACACGTACATCTGTACACAGAATTACGGATATGTACTCGATTTGTAAATAAACACTGTGTACTTAAAATATTGATCATGGCATGAAGCAATAGAAATAAACCGGAAGATATAATTAACGAGCAATGTCAGGTTTATTTATTTCTTTATTTCTAAGAAAAATAGATCCTTGGCTTTTTGGTGGGAAGGAGATGTTTTGCGGTGCATTTTAATTCATTGTTTAACAACCTTATCTAATTCTCAATTTGGATTTAAATGTAATATTTTATACTGATACTGTGTGTTTTGTAAATTCCATGAGATTGTAGGTGAAAGACACGACTGATGGGCTTTTATTCCACGTAGTTTATCATAACTTGCATGCGCCATCTTAGTTCGAGCGTTCACGAGTAAATTTCTAAATCAATGATGGTACTAGAACACTTACATGTACCCATCTACATTCAACACATGCAGTAAAACTAGAAACATTATGAAAAAAAGACAAATTTACACCAAGACTGCTGAAAAAAACAAAACAAAAATAATGTCAGGAATTCCGGAAGAGTAAACGTCATCTACTTCAGCTATGACGCTCGTCATGTAAATGCTATAAAAGTCTGTGTTTTCATGAACACAACATACTTTTACACGTGTTCAAATTTCTTTACGAAACAAAAATGATAAAGTTATGTCTAAAGGGTACGGAATAGGATTGGATGAGAAACAGAAACCTTTTTACACCCCATCCGGATTATCCTTTGAGATTTAGATGCCTCGACAATATTTGAAAAGTACAAGAATTTGTACTGTGTGTCTTTGATAACTGAGACGATGGCTGTTTTATTCCAGACACGTCAATACACTAATGTTACAACCAAAAATAAAACAACTAGTCTCTATGCCAGTGAGTGATCACTAAATTGGGCGCAGAACTTATTAGCCGAACTTCCAAGACAAGCAAATTTCTGTCAATTCTGATGTTAATACAAAGAAACATCACAAGTTTACCATATCACATTGTTTCTTACTATCTAAAGTTATTGATAACATACGGCATTATTCGCAATTTTGATAAATAAATCATATAATTACATAACTTTATGGCATAAATCCGTTTTGCCCATCCAGAGAGTATCAAAATTCTGTCAATGTTCTCTCTATATAACGTCTTTAAAAGTGACATTACCGAGCCAACTTATCTGTCATCCGAATAATGGCCATATTCGAAGTCAGTTATAAGATTATTGGTACATGGCTATATTCGGAGTCAGTTTTAGATTAGAGGTAGATGCCTCTATTCGGAGTCAGTTTTAAGATTAGCAGTGGATGGCTATATTCGGAGTCAGTTTTAAGATTAGCAGTGCATGGCTATATTCGGAGTCAGTTTTAAGATTAGAGGTAGATACCTCTATTCGGAGTCAGTTTTAAGATGAGAGGTAGATACCTCTATTCGGAGTCAGTTTTAAGATTAGCAGTGGATGGCTATATTCGGAGTCAGTTTTAAGATTAGCAGTGCATGGCTATATTCGGAGTCAGTTTTAAGATTAGAGGTAGATGCCTCTATTCGGAGTCAGTTTTAAGATTAGCAGTGGATGGCTATATTCGGAGTCAGTTTTAGATTAGAGGTAGATGCCTCTATTCGGAGTCAGTTTTAAGATTAACAGTGCATGGCTATATTCGGAGTCAGTTTTAAGATTAGCAGTGGATGGCTATATTCGGAGTCAGTTTTAGATTAGAAGTAGATGGCTATATTCGGAGTCAGTTTTAGATTAGAGGTAGATACCTCTATTCGGAGTCAGTTTTAGATTAGAGGTAGATGGC